CCAACCCTGACCCTGAGTGTTTGGTTTGGAACAGGGGACAGAGGCTTATGTGGGTCACTTCAAGTCCAGGTTCCTGCCGCAGCCCCACCCCCCAAGCCCGGCCTGACCCCTGGCTCCCTCCAGCGTCAGCTTCCCACCCCCACCCCCACCCTTTGCCCTTGGCAGATTCTCTTCAACGTACCCATCATGCCTCTTGTCCAGCGGCACCAGCCACAGACCAGGAACCTCTAGAGACTAAAAGAGGTGCTGATCCTGTACCCAGGTCTCCTTTATCTTTCTATTTCCCAGTACTCATTCCAATTCAAGAGCCTGAAGACAGCCCGGGAGCTTTGGGTATGGCTTTCTTCCTTATTTTGCCGCTTTGTAGTGTTTTGGTGATAGGCATGGGTGAAGGTGGAGCTGGGAGTGAGGAAGGATTTGAGAGGAAATGTGAACCTGGACAGCTTCCCCGCTGCCCCTCCATATCTCCCAGTGCCCAGCCCTGGACACACCCTGGCCAGAGCCAGCTGTTTGCAGACCTGAGCCCAGAAGAGCTGACGACTGTGATGAGCTTTCTGACCCAGAAGCTGGGGCCAGGCCTGGTGGATGCAGCCCAGGCCCTCCCATCAGACACCTGTGTCTTCTCCGTGGAGCTGCAGCTGCCCCCCAAGGCTGCAGCCCTGGCTCACCTGGACGGGGGGAGCCCCCCGCCCGCCCGGGAGGCACTGGCCATCATCTTCTTTGGCGGACAGCCCCAGCCCAACGTGAGTGAGCTGGTGGTGGGACCACTGCCCCACCCCACCTACCTGCGGGATGTGACTGTGGAGCGCCATGGGGGCCCCCTGCCCTATCACCGACGCCCCGTGCTCCTCCGAGAGTACCTGGACATAGACCAGATGATCTTCGACAGAGAGCTGCCCCAGGCTGCCGGTCTCCTCCACCACTGCTGCTTCTACCAGCGCCGAGGAAGGAACCTCGTCACGATGAACACGGCTCCCCGGGGTCTGCAATCAGGGGACCGGGCCACCTGGTTTGGCCTCTACTACAATGTCTCAGGGGCTGGGTTCTTCCTGCACCCCGTGGGGCTGGAGCTGCTGGTAGACCACAAGGCTCTGGACCCTGCCCGCTGGACCATCCAGAAGGTGTTCTTTCAAGGCCGCTACTATAAGAGTCTGGCTCAGCTGGAGGACCAGTTTGAAGCGGGCCTGGTGAATGTGGTGGTGGTCCCGGACAGTGGCACAGGTGGGTCCTGGTCCCTGAAGTCCCAGGTGCCTCCGGGCCCGGCTCCCCCTCTGCAGTTCCATGCCGAGGGCCCCCGCTTCAGTGTGCGGGGGAGTCGAGTGGCCTCCTCCCTGTGGACTTTCTCCTTTGGGCTGGGAGCGTTCAGTGGCCCGAGGATCTTTGACGTCCGCTTCCAAGGGGAGAGAGTGGCCTATGAAGTCAGCGTCCAGGAGGCCTTGACCATCTACGGTGGCAATTCACCTTCTGCTCTGCGAAGCCGGTACACGGACGGTGGCTTTGGCTTGGGCCACTTCTCTTCACCTCTGACCCGTGGGGTCGACTGCCCCTACCTGGCCACCTACGTGGACTGGCACTTCCTCTTGGAGTCCCAAGCGCCCAAGACGATACGAGATGCCTTTTGTGTGTTTGAACAGAACCAGGGTCTCCCCCTGAGGCGACACCACTCAGACGTCCACTCCCACTATTTTGGGGGCCTTGCAGAGACAGTGCTGGTCGTCAGATCTGTGTCCACGATGCTCAACTATGACTATGTGTGGGATCTGGTCTTCCACCCCAACGGGGCCATGGAAGTCAAATTGCACGCCACGGGCTACATCAGCTCGACGTTCCTCTTCGGTGCTGCCCGAAGCTACGGGAACCAGGTCGGGGAGCACACGCTGGGCACCGCCCACACCCACAGCGCCCACTTCAAGGTGGATCTGGATGTTGGAGGTAAGATATGCCGGAGGGAGAGGCATTCCAGAAGCGGGAGCTGAAGTATCCATGCCTCGCTTTAAAATTTGTGGTTGAAACATCAAAAATGTAAAAGTATCTGAAGTAAACTTTTGTGCAAAACATCAGATTCCTAAGAGATTTCCACCCTTAGCAGATCAGTCTCAGACCATTCAATTTGATTCCTAACGTGGAACCCAGTTATATCCTAACAGATCATTCCCAAATTCCAAAATTCAGGGAACTGATTGCCTTTGGCCCTACTCTTCATTCCTTGCCAAACCTCAAACTATGGGAAACACCTCCAAGCTCCAGCATCACCAGGCCCACAGGTCTGCTGTCGTGTGGTGAGGCCATTCCATGTTGGTTTCCTCCAGGTGCTGATGTGTAGGCACGAGTGTCAAATGAAGACTTGGGTCTCGGGCACTGCCGCAGTACCAACAGTGTCCCTTCGGTGAAAAGCCAGGGCGAGTTCTTTAAGTTCTCTAAGCCTCAGGGTCCCATCTGTAAAATGGGGACAATTGTAGTTCCTCCTTCAGAAGGCTGTTATACAAGTAAATCACCAGGACATGTAAAGCACTCAGCATGACGCCTGTGCATAGCATTTCAGGCTCAGTAAATGTGAGCTACAGCTGTAATTATTTACCTGATACGGTAGCTCTGCTGAGCTCTGCCAGGGGGCTTCAGATACGAGACCAAATCCCTTCCTCATTTCAGAAAGATCTGACTCTGAATTGCCTCTAGGCTGTTTCCACCTCAGATAACCAACATTCCTTCTCAGAGGAGGGGGCCCAGTCACCAGGCACCTGGGATTGTGACCAGAGGTGACATCAGGGAGAAAGATCTTCTCGAAATCTCTGAATCAGGAATATCTTGGGGAGAAAAGGAAGAGAAGTAGAGGACATACTCAGTTCTGGGCTTCTCTTTGACCCCCAATGTGAAGCCAGGCGGGTGATCATTCGTTTCTCCCATCCCTTCTCCTCCCTCTCTCACCCCGGCAGGACTGGAGAACTGGGTCTGGGCCGAGGACATGGTCTTTGCTCCCATGGCTGTACCCTGGAGTCCTGAGCACCAGATGCAGAGGCTGCAGGTGACCCGGAAGCTGCTAGAGACGGAGGAACAGGCCACCTTCCCCCTGGGAAGGGCCACCCCTCGCTACCTGTACCTGGCCAGCAACCACAGCAACAAGTGGGGTCACCCTCGGGGCTACCGCATCCAGGTGCTGAGTTTTGCTGGCGAGCCGCTGCCCCAGAACAGCTCCATGGAGAGAGCCTTCAGCTGGGGGAGGTGAGTGGCAGGGTGTCAGAGGGAAGCTGGGGGTGATGGACTATAAGAAGGGCCCCATGTTGCTGGGAACCCAGGTTCTCCCACCTCCTGTAGGTGTACATGCATACTCCTACACACACATACACACACACACACACACACACACACACACACACACACACACGCCTGTGGCCACAATCATGATCCTAGTGCCCTGGCTGGTTGTTCAGTGGTTAGAGCATAAGCCCCACACACTGAAGGGTCTTGGGTTTGATTCCAGATCAAGAGCATGTACCTGGGTTGCAGGTTTGATCCCCAACTTGGTAGGGGCACATGTGGGAGGCAACCAACCCATATGTCTCTCTCACATGGATGCTTCTCTCCCCTTCCCTTCCTCCCTTCCACTCTCTCTCTAAAATAGATAGATAGATAGATAGATATTTAAGAAATTAATGGGAAAAATATTCTCGGGTGAGTGTTAACCAAAAAAAGTAATAGTGGAAATAAATAAATGAGGCCTACTGACTGGATGGGAGAATGGAGAGATACATGTGGAACAAATACAGTAAAATGTCACAGGTAGAATCTGGGTTGTGGGTCTATGTATGTTCACTACACCAATCTTTATCTTTAAATGTTAGCAATAGGGGTGGAGGAAAAACCGAGGAAGAGGAACACAGATCTCAGGGAGTATTCCCTAAAACCCAGGCATTTGAGATACAGAAACTGACATAACGTGGGAATCAGGCCACGTCCATGCATTCAGGGCCCAGGCTCTGATCTAGAACCTGGATGGACGTATGAACGACCTGAGGACCTGGAGTCTGAACAATGGCCAATTGATGTTTGAGAGACCCATTACTGAACAAACGCGGGAACTCAGAGAGGCAGACAGAGCGTGAGAATGGGAAGAAACATAGACCTTTGTGCTTATTTCTCCCTCCTGGTCCCTCTTCAGCATGGCTTCAAACAGTAGGACAGTTTGATGGCCTTGTGGGTCTAATCCAAACCTCCTGTAGGTACCAGCTGGCCGTGACCCAGCGGAAGGAGGAGGAGCCCAGCAGCACCAGCATCTACAATCTGAACGACCCTTGGACCCCCACCGTGGACTTCACTGACTTCATCAGCAATGAGACTGTTGCGGGGCAGGTTAGTTTGGGGGAGGCGACAGGAGCAAGGATGAGCCCCTTCACTCTCTCACGCTGGGGCCCTCCAGGGTCGTTAGAACCCGCTAAGAAACGAAGCTTGCCGAAACCGGTTTGGCTCAGTGGATAGAGCGTCGGTCTGCGGACTGAGGGGTCCCAGGTTCGATTCCGGTCAAGGGCATGCACCTTGGTTGTGGGCACATCCCCGGTAGGGGTTGTGTAGGAGGCAGCTGGTCGATGTTTCTTTCTCATAGATGTTTCTAGCTCTCTATCCCTCTCCCTTCTTCTCTGTGGAAAATCAATAAAATATATTAAGAAAGAAAGAAAGAAAGAAAGAAAGAAAGAAAGAAAGAAAGAAAGAAAGAAAGAAAGAAAGAAAGAAAGAAAGGTAGAAAGAAAGAAAGGAAGAAAGAAAGAAAGAAAGAAAGAAAGAAAGAAAGAAAGAAAGAAAGAAAGAAAGAAAGAAAGGAAGGAAGGAAGGTAGAAAGGTAGAAAGAAAGGAAGAAAGAAAGAAAGGAAGGAAGGAAGAAACGAAGCTTCACGTTTCCTATTGTTCCCGGGCTGGTGAACTGAATCCTTACAGACCAGGCTACGGTGGGCGGCAGGTGTGTCTTTAGCAAAGCCAGGCCTCACGATCCTCTTCCTTCTCCCTGCTAGGACTTGGTGGCCTGGGTGACAGCTGGTTTCCTGCACATCCCACACGCAGAGGACATTCCCAACACGGTGACTGTGGGGAATGGTGTGGGCTTCCTCCTCCGACCCTACAACTTCTTTGATGGGGACCCGTCCTTTGATTCTGCGGACTCCATCTATTTCCGGGAGGACCAGGATGCTGGGTCCTGTGAGGTCAACCCCTTGGCTTGCCTCCCCAAGGCTGCTGACTGTGCCCCCGACCTCCCTGCCTTCTCTCATGGGGGCTTCTCTCACAACTAGGTGGTCCCTGGGATGGGGAGTGTCCAGGGACCCCCGGGCCAGGGTGTGTGGAGAGGGAGAGCAGTGGGCACTGGGCCAGGCAGCCTGATCTCAGACTAAGGTTCTCTCCTCTCCTGGCCCCAAGACCCTCTCTCTTATCACGCTTCTTTGCATCCCCTTCCTTACTGTAAGCATCCTGAGCCTGTGACACAGCAGGGACTCAACTCTGTTGACCCTAGACCTGCTGGGTTTCGGTCCCAGAGAACAGAGGAATGGCCAGCTGGAGCCGCAGTGATGGTCTAGCTTTTCCCCAGAAGACTTTTATTTGTTTCTAATAGTTTTTTAATCTTTTTTTTTTTTTACAATTAGATATCATTCACATACCATAAAATTTATTGTTTTAATGTGTCTAATGTAGTGGGTTTTAGGATATTCATAAAGTTGTGCAATCAGCACTACTAATTCCAGAACATTTTCATCACCCCAGAAAGAAACCCCATACCCTTTAGTGGTCACTTCCTCTTTCCCTTCAACCATCCCCAGCTCTGGGCAACCACCACGCTTTCTGTCACTATAGACGTGCCTGTGTTCTGGCCGTTACATAGAAATAGATCGATACAACACGCGGCCCTTTGTGATTGGCTTCTTTCAGCGGAACGTTTTCGAGGAGCATCCACTTTGTAGCATGAAACAAGAGTTCCCTCCTGGAGGACCGAGTACTATTCCATTGTATGAATGTTACCACATTTTGTTTGTTTGTTCATTCATGAGTTCAAGGACATGTGGATTGTTTCCACGTTTGGGTTTTATGGATCATGCTGCCGTGAGCATTTGTGTCCAGATTTTCATGTGGGCATATGTCCACTTCTCTTGGCACAAACCTGGGAGTGGAATTGCTGGGTCATAGGTTTAACCTTTCGAGGAGGCTGAGGCTGCTTTCCAAAGCAATTGTGCCTTTCTCTCTCTCTCTCTCTCTCTCCTTTTCTCTTTTTTATTGTGGTAAAACATAATAACATAAAATTTACCATCGGACTGTCTGTAAATATACAGGCGGGTGGCATTAAGTACTTTCACATGCTTTGCTGGGCCTGCTCAGCTCCTCCTCGGCCCTGGGTCTTGAACATGAAGGTGAGGCCTCTAGAGACCTCAGGGTAAGGTCTCTGCCTGGCCTGTGTCTCAGCCGTTGGGAAGGTGCTCCTCTGTTTTCATTTCCTGTCATCCTAGCACATTCCTTCTCTGCTCGTTCTCCCTCCTCTTCCTCTTCCTCTTCCTCTTCCTCTTCCTCTTCCTCTTCAGCCTCTACTCCCCGGCCTTCCCCCTAAGGTCCTGAAGGGATGTCCCTGCTGCTTCAGGTCCTGCAATTCTCCCCCATCCCTCAATTCCGGTGTCCTCCTCGGTCCCTGGGCTGGGGAAGCCTAGGACAGCAGGGAACTATCTTGGGGGAGAGAAAGACAATCCCTGGTTATTTTCTTGTGGGAGACATTGGTATATGAACAGCTTTCTTTCTTTTTCTTGTTGTTAATCCTCAAAAAAAAAAAAAAAAAGTGAGCTAGAAAGGAACTGAGTTCTGACAAAGGGACTTTCATACAAAGACTAAACACTGTGGAAGCTACATTCTTGATTCAAGGATAATAGCAGGATATGGTGACAAGAACTCAGTTGGGAAAGGGTTAAGGCAGAGCTAATTTGCTATTGTTGGCTCTTTCCATTTTGCTTTTCGGACCAGTGATTTAGTGTCTCTTTACCTTCTCAGCCCAAATAAATATCGTTTTGACTTTCTTGTGTTTTCTTATTTAAGGAAATTGGGACCATGATGGATGCAAGTGTTTTCATCTTGCCCCCAAGACAAACGCTGTGGAGGAGCCAATGATGCTTCTCTTGGCTGCTCCTCCTGTTCCTCCGGGTGCAGGAATGGGGAGCGGGGACCTGTGGCCCTAGGCTGTGTGGGGGACTCACCTGCTGACCCAGGAATGTGCCACGGGCTCCTCAGGGGCCAGAGGGCACAGCCTGAGGCCCCCCACCCCCCGCAGGGAGTGTGTGCACAGAGAACCCTATTGGAGGGCTCTACTTAGAACATAGACTTCCAGCCACAAGAAAGAAGCAACCAGACCTTAAGGAATGCAGCCCAGAGAAATCCAAAGGGTGTGAACAGCAAAGTTCTAGGAGGAACCTGGCAAGTGAGAGAGAAACCTTGGGAATACAGGCCCTTCAGGGACCCTTAGACCTACGGGTCCCACTGAAGGGGCCTGGAACACACAGAGTATCACACACACACACACACACACACACAGTATCACACACACAGTATCACACACACACATAGTATTACACACACACACACTCAGTAACACACACACATACACACACACACACACACACACACTATCACACACACACAGTATCACACACACACACAGTATCACACACACACAGTATTACATACACACACATACACACACATGCAGTATCAGTGTGTGTTCCCTCACTTGGCCTCTTAGTGGCGCTGGCCTCATGTCCCCACTCCAACACGTGGCCTGTGGCTGGTGGCCGACTATGCTTTCTCCACTCAGGCTCCGGTGGGTGTCTGCCTCTCCTGTAGCATTCCTCCTCACCACATCTGGATCCTGAGAAGGGCAATAGATCAGAGCACTCTCAGTAGGGCTTGGGTCTTGGACACCTTCCCACTGCATGTTTCTCATCTCCTTGGCCTATGTCTGTGGGCTAGGATATGATGGGGGCTCCCCTTTTCTTAAGGACCCTCAAGGAACATGATGTCTCCGTCTCTCCCATTGGAAGGGAGACAGGATGGTAGAGACTCTGCTGGATTAGCCCATTTTTATCTGTGGCTTCATTTATTCCTCACAACAATCTTGAGACACAGAAACTACTTTTCAAATTTCACAGATGAGGAAATTGAGATTCACAGGAATTCGGTAACATGCCCCAAGTCACCTGGCTGGGGTTGAATCCAGGTCTTTGTGGAATTGTACCCCACTGCCTTCCCTTTTGCTACTGCTCTTCTTCCCTGACTAGCAGGCCCGGTTAAAGAATTAACAAGGTAATGCTTGAGAAGCACTTGGCACCTGGTCCGTGGTAAGTGATCTTCTATGAGCAAAATCAACACTCAGTGGCCCTGAGCAAGAGTATGCACCATCGCCTTAAAGCAAAAGCTCTCAACCTGGACCGTAACTGAAGTCACGGGGGAGCTTGTAAAACTCCACATACCCAGGCTGCACCGCAGGCCAATAAAATCCATCTCTGGGGGCGAGGCAGAGCGTAAATGTATGCATTAAGCAGCATACATTCCCCCCATGTGATTCTAACATCTAGCTACGGTGGAGAAAATCCTGGAACAGCAGTTTAGTTCCAACCTGGCCAGAGGAGCCTGACCAGAGAGTGTAAGACACATAGAGAATGTGTCTGTTAGGAGGCACAGAAAAGGAGCATCATGGAGCCTGCCCGAGCAGTGCCAATCTGACTGCGTCTGGAGCAGAAGACCTGGCCCAAGGCCAGAACAGACCAGCCCCGGAGGGCATTGGCCATGCAGATGGAGGCACTGGGCCCTATCAACCCTATCTCATGACCAACAGCTGATCCTGATTCACAGCTCAGCCAGTCAGCTTCCCACCGCACCTGGGTCATGGGAAGAAACAGGCAAATCGGTTCTATCCCTTGTGTCAATAAACTAGTGGGTATTCTGATAATAATTGGTTTTGCTTGACAATTACTATAAGGTGAGGATTAGCCTTTATTGTTCCTTTGGTAAATTCAGATCTTCCCTGAAAGACAGTCTCCCTTGGGGAACTTGATGAATTTGATTTCTCACTTAGGACCCTCCCTTGGGCTGTAGTTAATGCACCAAGAAACCTTCATGTGGTATTCTAGAGACAGCCAGACTCTCCTGCTACAACCCACACCGACCTCTCCATGGACTTCTCGCCCAACTTCCTGAGCAGACTCATTATAAGCAAATTCCCAGTTTCCCCCGACTCTCCTGCCCCCATAGTTTTTCCTTGAACAACTGGAATTGTAAATTTTCTGAGCTCCCCACTCTCTGGGGCACATTGGGTTGTTCACACTGGGTTTGCACATCCTGCCACCCTGAGGCCCGGAACTCCAGACTGTCATGACCCTGTGCCCTTCCCCAAACAGGCTGTGCCCAGCCACGCATGCCTTTGTACATCCACTTTCTTCCTCTGGTTCCTACCTCTTCCCCCTTCCTCCCTCTTCATCTGCTGATGCCTTATTCATCCTCTAAAACCCAACTCAAAGACCACCTACCCCCACCGTTCTCTGCTCATTGCTTTGTTCTCTCTGCTCCCTTAGTACTTCAGTATATGTGCTGCTGAAGCAAGCACTCCCTTGAATTTTACAAGTCTAGTTCTTAGAGTATAGTAAGTGCTCAATGAATGCTAGCTATTATTTAATATTTTATTAACAGCATCTACTGGGTGTTTGAGTTACTGCATAGCCCCCTTGAAAAACAGTGGCTTAAAACATCAAACCATTTTATTTGCTCATTAAAGCTGGGGCTCAGTTGGGTGGTTCTTCTGCTGAAGTCACCTGGAATCACTCTCTTGACTGCAGATATCTGGTAGAGAGACTAAGGCTGGATGGTCTATGATGGACTCACTCACACGTCTGGCAGCTGGGGCTGGTGGACAGACAGGTAACATATTACAGCCACGTGTGTCCAACAGGCCAGCCTGGACTTCTTCGCTTTGTGGTCCTGGATTCCAATGCTAGCCTAAAGAGGACAAGCCCTAGTGAGTGAATGCTTTTCAAGCCTCTGTTTGTATCGCATCTACTAATGTCCCATTGGCCCTCAGATTCAAAGGATGGAGTAACAATGCAAAGAGGTGCATATCAGCAACAGAAGGAACCATCACAGTAGTCTAAACAATCTATCTCACTGGCACCAAATATGCTAGCAGAGTTGAAAGCTGGAAGGGGTACTTTCTTGGCTCACAGGGCTCAGGATAACTGAAAAAGGGTGAAGTCTTTTTTAAAAAATATATTTT